ATGACAGACATAACACAGCAATTCGGCTAATAATCAACTAATTAAGTCGGTCAACAGATACGCGTAAACAAATTCATGATACATCCCTTCACCCAAACTGAGATATGCCTCTCCGCATTGCACGTTCACAAATCAAAGATACCGTCCTCTACTCATCGTCATACAGGTTAAATACAATACTAATAAAAAGTATAAATCAAAAGAGTAAAACACTAATTAAGTACAATGATTATAAAGTCTAAATACAATGGTTATAAAGTTTCAAATATCAACGGTTATAAATCAAAAACAAGGGAAAGGCTACCAATCGACTCGCTTTTCTCAAACGGGTCCGCTGAGGGTAACCCTTCGCTGCACTGTCTCCGCTACTAAGGTTACAAACTCTATATCAAAAGGTCAAAAAAAAAAACTAAGGCGTGGCGGTGTAACCAAGCGATCAGCCAATCGCTGCAGTCGACAGCATGATCACGTGATTACCAGGGATGCGTCTCTCGGTTAAAGCATTGCAAAGCGGTAACTAATAAAGAATGAATGAAAAAGCTATTAATCAAACTCCTGTCACATACGCTTATAAACTTCAACTGAACTCAAAAGTCGTTAATCTAAACAAAAGTCATACGGCGTGGAAACAGAATGCAAAGACAAATTCGCTTTCATAACACATTACTCCTCTGGCAAAAAAAACGGGAAAAAGCAAAACGATAGAAACTACTGAATTACATATAATCCTGTCAATCATGAACAAAAGCTTGCGATATCAAACAATACGTATATAAGCGCACCAAACTCTCATTTCAAAAAGACATTAAAAAACGTTACAAAGGTGCTATCAACTCAAAAAGCGTCAGAAGTATTCCGGAAAACAACACATAAACAAAAACAACTCTTAAAACGTCGGTATCTCTGTACTCGACAAATCTCAAAACTCTGAAAAACACGTGGGGGCATCATTCCTCCCATCATATTCCGTACTCATAAACTCATAAAAACACAATAAAACTTCACAAAACTCAAAACACTGTGTTGCAAATACTTGCCCACTGAAGCGCGCTTAAATCGTTATAAAGGACCTCGAACGTCACCAAATATCAGTTTAAAACAAAGATCTGGGCGCTTACATACATACAATTCAACATCACTAAAAGAAACGGTAAAAACAATAGGAAAAGCAAGCAATACATTACATTACTGAGCAATAGGGTTAGGGTTGTGGAAAAGAGTTCAACGTCCTTGAGTTACACAGTGTCAGTTACAGTGTCCAGCGAGCAGTTCTCTAAGCAATACACAGATAGCTAAAGTCAAAGTCTATAAGCGTCTCTTCTCTTGTCGTCGCGTTAGTCCGGGTCGTTCTTTCATCTTCTTCTAGTCTTTAATGTCGCACAATTCTTAATTATACAGTCCTATCCGGTACTCATCCTTCATAAGGGGTTCTGAAATCTTCATCTCTTCAGCGTTGTACATCGGTGTCGTTCGGGTAAAGTCGTTAGTCGTCAAACGCAGTTTCCGAGTCGTCTCTGCCATCGCTGCTAGTTAGTTCGGTTCACAAGAAAGACACATCTTCGCCATTTCACTTTTCTTCACAGGATGTCAATGTGCGTAAGACGCAATGCCCAGGGTTCTCACACCACGTATCAGGGGGAAATTTCTGTACTCTCTCGGGGTCTCCACACTTGCCAGGGGGGAAACTCGTCTCGTCTCTCTATCTCGTCCCCTTGAGGTACGGGACCGGGAAAGTCACTTTAACTTTACAGTCAAATAAGGCACACACAACGAAATACGTTTCAGCTCTCGTCCAAGTCGATCTTTTGGAGCACTCTATAAAACACAGCGCCCTGGGGAAAAGTCCCCAACACTCTCACAAGGCTGAACCAAGACTCGCCCCTGGACTGGACTGCCTCAAGGCTCGCCCCTGGACTGGACTGCCTCAAGGCTCGCCCCTGGACTGGACTCTCGTCTGCGTCTGTCGTGAGTATTCGCCAAGACCAACTCAAACTCTCTTTATTCATTTTCAAAACTCTAACCAATTACAAA